CCCAGCAACCCCACATTGATGTCTCTCTCTCTCTCTTTTTCTTCCTCCCTTCCCTGTCTAAAAATAAAATAAATAAAATCTTAAAAAAAATAAGATACAATGCTTTAAAAATAACTGTCTTCTCTGTGCTAGGTCTCAAATCATTATTAAAAGGAAAATAAAAAAGTATTTTAGAATTTCAATAGATGTCCTTAATTCTGGAAATGGCAGTGCTGCATTTGTTGCCAGATAATATTAATATTATTTATTCATCAACTGGTTTGATATTTATATATTTTTAAAAAATAAATATTTATTTAAACATTTTTTAAAAAAGATTTTATTTACTTTTGTAGAGAGGGGAAGGGAGAGAGAAAGAGAGGGAGAGAAACATCAATGCGTGAGAGATACATTGATCAGTTGCCTCTCACATGCCTGCACCCAGGGATCTGGCCCGCAATCCAGGCATGTGCCTGGAGCAGGAATTGAACCAGTGACCCTTAGGCTTACAGGCTGGCACTCAATCCACTGAGCCACACCAGCTACAGTGATAAATATTTATATTAATAAGCACTGAACTAATGACTGAGAAGAGCATGAGAAAAACTTTTGATCAAAATACTTTCAATAAAACATGCAAGGAACCTTTGTTAGCTAATGTTTTACATTGCCAATAAATGACTTTTCTGTGCCTCTCTGAAAAACTATCTAAAAATCAGCAACCCTAGTTTGTTATATTCTTTGTGTATCCTCAACTTCCTGGAGATGCATTATTGCAGTCTTTCAATTCAGATGAAGACGTGAAAGTAATTACAACCTATTATCATTTTATTCTCATCAAAGAAAGGGCTATATAGAAATGGAAGGGGCACACAGGCTGGTCTTTTACCTGGAAGAAATTCAAGTTGGACACTATTACAGCATAGTGACAAGTAAGGGTTGAAATCCAGATGCAGCTGTTATGTAGAAACAAACTTACTAAGAAACTTAGTTACGAATTTTATGCACTAGTTATACAAGTGGCTTTCTTGCTTTTCTTTTAATATATTTAACTTACACTATATGAGGGCCCTTATACTTGCTGTCCTTAATGTTCACATCTCAGTTCAGTGTCCTCTTCTAAGGGGTTTTGTTGATCACTTATTTACATTACTTCCACGTTCTTCTCCCCAGCTATCCGCTATCTCATTATGCTGCTTTATTTTCTTCACAGCATTTAACCTTATCTGAAAGTACAGAATTTATTTTTGTCTGCTTATTTTTCTTTTTTCCTCAAAAGTATAAACTTCAAGAAAGCCAGGGCTGCCTGTCTTATTTGCTGTGGGTTCCCAGCACACACAAACAAAAAATGCCCGCACACCATGGATGCTCAATAAATATTTGTTGAATGGAGCATCAATAAAAATCACCACTGTAAAGAAATTAAGCATCGATATTCTGTTCATGCTTATTTTTGAGTCCTTGAAAATATTTCTATTTTGGTTACCTGTTATTTCACACCAGCTACACCAAACTTAGCACCTTAACACCAGTTGTTCATGATGCTCACACTACTGTGGGTTGAGCATTCAGACAGGCTGTGGCTAGCGATTTTCGTGTTCTACGTGGTGTTGGCTGGAGTTACTTAGTGGAATTCCACCAGCATCTGGTAAGGTGGGTCTGAGGTGCTTTCACTTTGAATTCTGGCACCTGGGGGAGATGGCTATAAACCCAGGCTCAGCTGGCCTCCTGGGAATTAAAACATATGCCTGGAGCTGGCATAGTATTATACCCACCATTTCTTTGGTCAAATTAGTTACAGACCAGCCTGGGTTCAGGTGAGGAATATCAAAGTATATGCAGTCATTTTTAATATTTCTGAGATACAATATTTCCAAGCAAACGTTCCTAAGGTAAACAGTGCAGCCCTGACTGGTGTGGCTTAGTTGGCTGGGCAGTGTCCTGCACACCGGAAGGTCGCTGGTTTGATTCCTGGTCGGGGCATGTAACTGGGCTGTGGGCCTGGTCCTCGTGGGGATGTGTGCGGAAGGCAACAGGCTGACGTTTCTCTCCCACATCAGTGTGTCTTTCCTTCTCTTTCTCCCTCCCTTCTCTCTGCAGTAAAAAATAAAAACAAAATTTTAAAAATTGTTAAAAAAAGAAGAAAAAACAATCCAACAAATTGAATTCAGTATCTTTCTGGAAGTGACAGGCTTCTGATAAAAGTTTCACCTAAATTCAAGGAAGGCTTCAAAATGCTAATAAAGAAATATAAAAGTTAAAAGTGATATAATGTAAAAGATATATAAAACTTCTTATACTATGCTGTATACCTGAAATTAATACGAAAGAATATTGAATGTATACTGTAATTAAAAACAAAATAAAATCTTTTAACATACAGCTTATTTGCTTATTTAAACACAATAAACATTGTAAATTGGTTCAGGTCCTCTGAAATTATAGCAAAGATTCATGTATAGATTCCAGGTAAAGAAACCAGCAAATGCCAAGTGGATGAGTATTATTTTTGGGATTACAGTAGTGATAAAGGCCTATGAAATTATAGCTTTTATGTAATGTGGATAAATTTTCCTTATGTAAATATTATATGTGATTGCTATGATAGGCAGAATTAATGTAAGTAGTGAAAGTACTAAGTAGTAAGTAGTACTGCTGAGGGGGCAAATAGGTTTGTTATTTTTACTTGGAGTCCCACTAGCATTTTAGCTGCTAACACAAATGGATAATTCCTACCCTATAAAAGTTTGGAAAAACCATACTATTATACACGAAGGCATGAATTGTCAGTTTTTGCATACTTTTTTTGGTAAATAACAATTTTTACTTTCTGTTATTAGATTCACAATCTGATGCTTTTATTAAACTATATTTAGAGTACACATTCCCAAAATGATTTTGTGTTTGCTTGGTGGATAGGAGCAGGAGGGATGGAAACTATATTATGAAGGTATTTTCTTGTATAAATGACGGTGTAATGCGGTTGTTGTAATGTGTCTGATTTCCTCACTGTGTTATAATTAGTATGTAGAGGGAATACAGGGCAGTGACAACAACGTTAGCTCTGTAAGGGGGAGAATTATTTGTAGGCCATGAGCTAAAATAATACTTCGGAAATGAACTTGTTCACAATTTGAGTTTTTGTACAGGTGGCTTTAAATTCATCTTAGTTGAAATTTGCTGAGCTTCCTGAATGTTACTATTCAAGTCTTTCATCAAATTTGGGGGGTTTCCAGCCATGTTCTTCAAATATAGTCCGCCAACCACTCTGGCCCGGGCAGGGTACAGCCATCTCTCTTGGGAAGGTGTTGTGAGGGGCTCTCATTGTGCCCTTCCTTGCTTGCTGGCTCCCTTTTTATTTCAAGAGTGGGAAGTGCAGCTTCCTCTCAGCCAGGCCCATACATAATTGGTGTGAGGATATTTCCATATATAGATTCACATTTGGATTCACATGTGGATTCATGTATGAATTTGTATCGGCAAAGATTTAGGTGATGTGTCTGCTATGTATATTTTTCTGGGGGAGTAGATTCATAGTTTTTATTAATCTCTCAAAAGAGGATATAATGACCCCCTCTCCTGCCCAATTAAGTAAGTATTTCCAAGAAAAATTGGGAAGTAGTTAAATTTATTTTTGGAATTATCTCCCTTGATAATGCCTAGTCTTGCATAATTAATAATGATAATAATAGCTGCCTTAAAAATGACTACCTGCTTATGTGCCAGGAACAGCTCCCTAACAAGCCTATAAAGTAGTACTATTACCCATATTACAGATGAGCAAATTTAGGCACAGTAAATTGCCCATGCTCATCCAAGTGCCAAGTGGTGGGGCTGGGAACCCTAGCATATTGGCTTCAAAGGGACCCACACAGTGAGGCCCTGTTCGGGAGTAATAGTTTACTCCTTTGTAAATGTGGGTAAATAATAGTAGTCAGTGTCATTGTGGGGATTAAATGTGCCTAACTAGGATGGTTCAGTTGTAAACCTAACACAGATTACCTACCACGGGCGCTTAATAAATACCGGCTCTTCATTCTTAGCCATTGTTGTGTTCTAGAGGCTCTGCTATCTTTCACTGTAGAGATATTGGTGTGATAAAGTGCAAGTCCTAACAGAGGTGGCTGGTTAGGGATTTGAAAGTCTAGGGCTTAAACTGGAGATACTGCTCTTCCCACTAAACTCCCTAGGGTCTCATGTTTTCTGTTAAAATTGTATGCAGATTTCACACCCTATTCCACAATCCTGCTGCTTATCCAGTAATATAAAATTCGTTTACTCCCAACGACTTTGGAATCATTGTGTTTCTAGGAAGATCACCTTGTGGATGACTGGGCTTCACACACACCACTGCTCTTTGAGGGACGTCGCAGCGCAGGTTTGGGAACGGGAAGGCCTAGATTCCTAGTCTGGGTTAGTTTTAGAATAAGGCCGGACTCCTTAGGTTGTTTGGGCCTCCTATTTTTCACTTATAAAATTGAGTGGCTGGTGACACCTAGGTGATTTTACCAGGCTCTTTTGTTTTCTCTCTGAAACTATACACCTGAAGATGGTCGTTTAGCCTAGTGATTTTCAAACTGTGGATCTCCATTAAAAAAAAAAACAATTGGTGGGTCAAACACTAGAAAAAATACCCGAGTAAATACGGCTTGGTGAAACTCGTGTTTCAGAATAGATATCTAAATATGTGTGAAATATATATGTATTAATTGAAAGTGTATTTCTTACTATGGGTAGAAACATTTCAAAGGTAATGTGATGGGTGCACCACCACCACCTCGGACAGGAAGCCAGGAGGAACCTGGAAAGCCCGCCTCTTCGAGAAAACCAGTCTTGGAAACTCTAACCCCGCCAAAACTCGAAGGCGCAGCTCCGAGCGCGAGCCACGGTCCCGTCGCTCCTCGCGATGGCTGCGGCCCGCCAGCGTTCCGCGCGGCCCTGGCGTCCACGTCGCACTTCCCGCCTCGGGCCCCCGCAGGAGGGAAACCGCGCGCTTCTGACGTCATCACTCAGCGCCGCTGTCTCCACCTCCTTCCACTTCGACCGAGAAGTTGTTGGCGCGAGTGGATCCCCATCCCCGGTAACGGATTCCCCAGCCCGCCGGCCTGAGCGCCCGCGCTTTAACCCTTGGGCTGCGATGGTGAGCCCCAGGGGGAGACTGAACGGCTCCGGGGCTTGGGAAGAGTTTGCAGGCTGGGTGTGGACGGGGCACTCTAGGGATGGGGGTGTGGGAGACGGCGGTGCGTGGTTCAAGAGGGGAGCAAGGCACAGACCGTGCGTGCATTGGCTCAGACCTTCCCATGGACCGTGGGCTCCAGCTCTCGGCCGCAGCCAGCGCTCAGGGTTTTTGGTGCTGCGCGGTAGTTTGACACTTTTCTACTCTGGGGAGAAAGGAGGAAGGAAGAGAGATTTGAAGGTGATTTTGGTTGGGGTGGGGGGCAGCGGTAAAGTTGTTTACCTGTTTAGCATTGCCCCAAACCTCAATTTACCTCCTACCCAAAGCCTTTGAGTCCCGTTAAAGCTTTAGGTCCAAAGGGGAGAGGACGTAACAAACTTTCCTTTCTTATGAATAAGTTATCTCAGGCCTTCAACTTTTGTCAACAGCTTCACGAGCTCATCACATAGGCGTTTTGAGATCAAGGGTATGGGGAGGATGTTTTGTTTTCCTGAGTTCACAGAAGTCAAAGGGTTAATAGGGTTTACGAGGGACGAGGGTGGATGGGGATGGTGGGAACCACACCGCTAATAAAGCAGATGTAATACATTTCACAGCTATCGTCGCTTATCACCTGATGTTAAAAATCTTAAAAACACACACACACACACACCCAGAAACCTCTGCATCATTGTGCATAAAGCATTCAAATTAAGAGTGAAATAATTATGCAACCGTGAAAACAGACGTTCACGCTGTTAGGGCAGTAGATACAGGTCTGGGTTCGAACTACTTTAAAGGGCAACTTAAGATGTTTCATTAAGGTAGAGTCTACTTAATAATTAGACATAACTTTTTCAGTCATTCTTTAGTTTGTCACAATGCCAACATTCTGGAGGGCGGAATTTTTTAAGCCAAATTGGGAAACCTTGCAGTCCTTTTGTTTCTGTTCAAGGAAGGATAAAATAGTGATGATAGCTCCCATTCAAGTGTCTTCTTCTGGTATGTGAGCTGCTTTTTTATGTACCTTTTCTCATTTAAACCTCACAACAATCTAGTTTTACAGATGGTAAAGGAGGCTTAGAGTTTCAACAATTTGTCATGCAACTAATTGTAGAATTAGAACATAGGGTTTTCTGACCAGTAGTGTATACTGCCTTCCTGAAATGGTCCTAATTACATTTTGAACTTTAGGCACTGGGATTGTGGAAAGGGGATGAGATCTGGAGTTTTGAAGGTGAGAATGAGATGTTTTAGTCTTGCTCTGCCATTTCATAGTTTTGTGGTTGGGGCAATGGCTTAGCTTTACACTCTTTAAGCCTCCATTTTCTTACCTGTAAAAGTGGGGGAAATCAGCTGCCTTAAATGATTTTCTTGGGGACTAAACAAGATAATATGTGTAAAGCTTCCCTTTTGGTGCCTGGCATGTGGCAGGCATACAACTACATGCTCCTAATGATCTGATCTTCTCAGGAAGGACTCTGTATGGAACATTACCTAGAGTTTAGGGCACATCGTAGAAGCCTCTGCTGTTGTCAGATACGGCAAACAGCAGCTTGTATAGTCAACTTTCATTTGATCATTTTCACCTGTTCATCAAGATACTTTATATTGTGGTTACTTTTTTCCCCCTTAGGATTCCTTTTCATGGTGCAGATGAAAAAAAAAGAAAGCCCTTCTAAGAAAAAGAGTCAAATTGGTTAGTTTTGCTCTTTGTTAATGGGAAACAGCAGTTCATGTTCAATAAAGTAGGGATTTGGATTATATTGGTATTTAATTTAGTTTTTCTGTTTCTAGTACAAAAGTTATCAAAACCTTAGGATAAAATTTTGTTCGACAAAGTTTATTGACCATTTGTATAAAAGTTATATAGCGCAGCAGTGCTTAACTTCTGTTTGGGTCATACTCCCCTTTGGTAATATGGATGGTATGCAAATTTTCTGCCCATAGAAATGTATATGGGCGCATATACTATTCTAGGGGATTTACCTGTTTTCTGAAACCTTTTCATATACATAAGGTTAACATCTCTTTCCCTAGGAGCTTCATTTTTTCTCAAATATTTTTCAGTTAGAAGTTATGAATAAAAGAATAAAATACTATATCCACAAAATGGAGTGCTATGCAGCCACTAAAAATGAAAAGAACTGGCCAGGGCTGGGTGGTTCAGTTGGTTGGAATGTCATCCTGTATACCTAAAGGTTGCAGGTTCAATTCCCAGTCAGGGCACATACCTAGGTTGTGGGTTCCATCCCCAGTTGGGGTGAGTGCGGGAGGCAACCAATCGATGTTTCTCTCTCTCCCTCTCTCGAAAATGAAAAAAAAAAAAAGAAACAAAACTATGTCCTCAGGTAAGGACTAAAAAAAAAAGGAAAACTTTATGCCCTGATATGAAACAACTGCCAAGCTAATTAGATGAAAAAAGTAAGATGCTGGAAATATATGATGTATGATACCAGTTTATACAGTAGAAGAGAGAAAGGAATATGTACATATTTGCTTGAAGATACATAAAATCTCTCAGGAAGAAGACACAACTAATTGATAGCATTTGTTGCCTGCACAGATGGGAAGTATGGTATGTGTCTGAGAGGCAGGGTGGGAGGGAGGCTTTACCCTTGAATTTTGAACCATGTGACTATAATGTCTATTAAAGGAAATGAAAGAAAATTGTAAATGAAAAGGATACAGGCTTAGCTCATCTTTTTGTATTTTGCTTTATTGAGCTTCACAGATTTTTTTTTTTTTACAAATTGAAGGCAAGTCCCTGCACCAGCAAAAAGATTACGATTCATTTGATTGTGATACTTTTCTGTGGTGATCTGGAACTGAACCCACAATAGATAAGTAGCCATGTGAACAATTTGGATTGCTATGAGGATTTAATCAACTGGTCAAAATGCAAATAAGACCTGGGAGAGGCCATTTTTAAGAAGTCAGTATATGTAAATCATTGACTGGTATAATTTATTGAAAATATAAAAAGGTTTAATTAAACACACAAGAGACTTAGGTGATACAGGCTTTTTGAAGAGCTGTCAGGTGAGTCAGAACACACTGTAATTTGAGCTGTTTCACTGCCCCACTGTAGGGTCACCTTTCACATCCTAGGTTATGACTGCTGCCCCTGGAGCAGTGCTATGACCCTAATGTAATGTAGCTATTGTCATATATACTGTGCTTGGCGTATAAGACCACTGCCTGCTTCTCCAGTCTCTGTTTTGAGTGTATTAAGCTGGTTCTGTTTTGGTTTTTGTTCTTACTATTTCCTCTCCTTGGAACAGTCTTCCTCCAGATCCCTGCATGTCTCTGCCTTTTTCATTCAAGTTTGTTTTTAATTTTTTTATTATTATTTTTTATGTTTTGGATTTTTAATGACTGAAACAAAAAAGATAGAAAAACTCAGCTTCTGGAAGATCCATTTGTTCTTGCCAGTCTTGTACCTCTCTTCGAACTTGACCTTGGCCTCCTGTCGGGCCTTGCGTTTCAGAGCAGGGTCTCTGAAGATGTCCCTTTTGACGACAGTTTTGTCCAAGGGTATATTTACAGAGTATCTTGTGGGCATGAGGTGATTGTAGCTATACACTCTCACAAAAGACTTGATCTTAGACCTCTTGGCGATTTTCTTGCCTGTGGCAGCTATCACTTTGTGGGGACAGCGGTCAGTGCCAGCCGTAGGGGCGGTCTGACGTGCCATCATCAATGTTCTTCACCGTGACTGCTTTGTGTCCGGAGCAGTGCCCAGCCAGGACCAGCACCACCTTCCCGGGTTTCGTAAACTTGCCCGTTTTGACAGCAGCCACTCTAAGTTTCCATCGTCACTGACTTGGAGCTTTTGGTGTCATAGTTAAGAAACCATTGCCTAATCCAAGGTCGTGAATATTTATGCCTGTTTTCTTCTAAGAGTTTTATAGCTTTGGCTCTTATATTTAGGGTTTTGGTTCATCTTGAGTTAATTTTTGTGGGTGGTATGAAGTAGGGTCCAGGTTTCTCCTCTTGCATGTCCACTTGCCCCAGCACCATTTGCAGAGTACCGTTTTCCCACTGAATTATTTTGGCATCTTTCTTGAAAAATCAGTTGGCCATTAAATGTGAGGTTTTTATTTCTGGATTTTCAGTTCTATTCCATTGATCTGTATGTCTGTCCTAATTGGGAAATGTGAAACTTTCAACTTTATTCTTTTTTTCAAGATTGTCTTGCCTATTCTGGCTCCTTTGAATTTCCATAGAATCAGCAAAGAATCTAGCTGGGATTTTGATAGTTGTTTTGAGTCTGAAGGTCAATCTGGGCAGTATTGCCATCATAACAATGTTAAGTCTTCTGCTCAGTGAACATGGGGTATCATTCTATATTTAGATCGTTAATTTCTTTAAGCAGTGTTCTGTAGTTTTTAGAGTTTGCGTTTTACACTTTTGTTAAGTTTATTCCTATATATTGTTCTTTTTGGTGATACTATAAATAGAATTGTTTTCATAATTTCACTTTTGAATTGTTCATTGAATTGAAGAATGTGGAAATATTATTGACTTTTGTATATTGATCTTTAAAGTGGATTTCTTAGGATTTTTTTATATATAAGATTATTTCATCTGCAAATGGAGATAATTGTACTTTTTCCTGTTCAACCTAAGTGCCTTTTGTTTCATTTTTATTTATTTATTTTTTGCCCGATAGCTTCTGCTGCAGCTTCCACAATGTTGGATAAAAGTCACAAAAGGGTAGGGCAGATCTGTCTGATTTCTGATGTTATGGGACAGCATTCTGACAGCGTGCTTTCTGCTTTCAGAGTACAAGGCCTTAATATAATCTAAAATTATTTCATAGTTTTTCTTTGCTTTACTGCCATCAGTAATATCTTTGTATGTTTTAGTCAGATTTATAATCTTTCATTTTGGTGGTTTTTAAGATAACATTTTTATATTTGGATAGATTTTATGAAGTTTGTTATTGATCATTAGTTTCTGTTTCTGCTCATAGATTTGGT